TGTATTTGTGGGGGGATGTTGGGTGCTTCAAGACTTTGTTACAGCTTTTTATCTTCAGCTCACCGTTTTAGTTCCCTTTTGCTTCAACAAGGACTGAATGTTACTCCAAACCAGTGGATATTTGGGTAGCTTGTAAGTGAAGTGGGTTTGATGGAACTTGTACTGGATCTGGTCCCTCAGATATTGCACTGGACTTTCCCCAAGTGTGCAGACTTACAAGGAGAAGACCAGAAGCCACGTATTGCAGAAAGAAATGCTGGGGGGGCTGTGTGGAGATAGTGACTTGGCTCTGCTTCAGCAGTGGGGAAAGCTTGGTGACTTCTTTTAACAAGGATACCAGGTTGACTCTCTTCATCTACAGTGAAGTCATCTGTTGTAGTCTTAGGCTTCAGCATAAAAGTACAACCATTGTAGCAGGTCATATGTAGAGCTATGCAAAACATCTTAATGCTTTTCTCTTTAAAGGATGTGTTTCCCCCTGTGACTGGGCTATTTTTAGAGCTCATGATTTCTGAGAAGTCCCTCTCAGGGGAATATATCTTCAAATAGGTTATAGCAGAGGAGGAGAGGGAAATTACAAAACAGATAAGAATAGGTCTGGAGAGGAGGAAGAATATAGTGGTTTCTTGTGGGAAAAATTGTCTGTTTCTTAATCTGTTTAAATGTCCCCTTACCCTGAGAACTGTTTTTGATGTCAATCTTCCTTTTTGAGTCATCATGCTAAATTCTGAATTAAATGAACTCGCTTTGAGCTGTAAAATCATCAAAATAACCTATATTCCTGCCTGCTTATTTTAGCATGTCAGATAGCCAAGTCACTGGTTTTATTTGAGAGGGGAATTTCCTAAGATAGGCAACATCTTACCTCATTCTTAGTTACATTCAGTTATGTTAGTGTGTATCAGGGTTGGGTTTTGGAGTGTTTTTTTTAATGGGGATGTGAAGGGGTTTGTATTTAACCTCAAGGTTGCATATACTTCCTGCACATACATAATGTACATACTTTAATATGTTTTGTTTGTTTAGAAATGCTTCTGTTTGAAGTCCTGAACAAATGAAAATAGTCTTCTGAAGCTACTGAATTAAACTGACAAGATTTCCTATTAATTTCTTTCTTGTGGTTGGCAGCAGATTGATTTTTAGAGCTCTTCCAGCAATGAAGGCATTTACAGGGTTTCCCTCACTTGGGCACTTTTCATGTAGAGTAGTGAATTCATGCTAGTGCTCCTCTGTCAGGGACTCAGTCACTGTTTCCTGAGTTGCTATTTTCGTGGAAGCTGTAAGAGCTAAACTGTCTTTGAGATTTCTGTTTCAAAATACAAATTATTTTTTCTTTAATCTGTCCCACTTAAAATGTCTGTGATTATAAGAGACTGTCACAACTGGTAAACCATAACTCTTGTAGAAAGCCAAGCTTAAAACTTTTTTTTCTGATCAAGCACGAGTTGACCTGTTTCAGAAACCAAACTGATGTTTTTTTTCCTGTGCCTTTTTCTTCTTGTAGGGTTTTCACAGACATTCAGCAAGTCCTCAACAACCTGACGCATCCTCGTTTTGTATTCACAGACAAAGAGGGAGAGGCAGACATCCTCTACAACTTCTCACACTTCAAAGATTATAGGTTGCAATTGTTCCCCTGATCGTATAAATTCTTTCTTTGTTACAAAGCCTCCTCAGCCTTCCTCCTTCACCCAACAACTTCTCTGTTTTGTAGGAAGCTAAGTGAAGAAAGGCCTGAGGTCATGCTGAATCAGTTCCCCTGTGAGAATCTTCTGACTGTCAAAGACTGCCTGGCATCTATATCTAGACGAGCTGGAGGACCAGAGGGGCCAAGATGGTTGCCTCGTACCTTTAACCTCCAAACAGAACTGCCTCAGTTCATCAGCTACTTCCAGCAACGTGACAGAAGGTGGCTTTGTGGTTCCACTTGTTTTGTTTTGTGCTTTCTTGATCCCACTTCCCTCAAAGACCAGCAGCCTGCATTTTGGGCTTGGCAAGAGCAAATTTCATGGTGGTGTATTTATGTCCAAGTGAATTTTGCCTGGCAAGTGTGAGCTTTTTAGGTGTTTTCTGTAATGTATCAATAGTTAAGCAATGCATTTTGAAATACCAAAACTTTGCCATTGTTTGAATACAGATTTGAAGGCTGTTGCTCTTTGTCTAGTCAAGATCTTACCTTGTGTATTTAACAGATAGAGGAAGGATCAAAATGTGTTTGCATCAAATGTTGTTTGGGTTTTTTTTCCAGGGGACCAGTCACAGGTCGAAGGATCAAAATGTGTTTGCAACAAATGTTGTGTGTTTTTTTTTTTTCCAGGGGACCAGTCACAGGTTTCTTGCACTTAAGCCAGAGTGGAAAATATTTTTTAAAGTTACTTGGGTTCTGTAAGGTTGTGAAAGTAAAATTGAGTTTTAATGTTGGCCTAAAGCAGTTGTGGAGCTTTAGGGTTTTAAATCCCCAGTCTTTCTACTGCTGCAGTGGCCTTGGAGTGGATGGAAATTAAGATTTTATCTTGATTAGAGGGCATCAGGTACTGCTAATGCAATAGCCTCTAATGCTTGGCATGTATATTCTGGTTGAAAATTTGCTTCTTTGGTAACTTGCTTATGGTGCCACCTGCTAGGTGTTTAATTTGGACGTTCTTTGCTCTGTATAGTCTGTTACTGACTGGCATAAGCAGGAGAGGGCATTATGTTTGCCTTGTCTGTGGTGTAGTAATTCCCTTTTAATATCAAGGATTGACTATGAATGCAATGTGTATGTAGGGAATGGGAGGGAGGGGATAGGAATTTTCAAATAAACAAAACAGACCCTTTTAAGTTAACACCAGTAGCTGCAGCTCAGTTTAGGCTGTTTGTCTTGAAGCTCAAGAAGTTTTTTGGGATGTTCTAACAGAGGGAGAATAGACAGACATTGTGTTACCCTGCCCTTACTCATAAAGATGCATTGAGAGACCAGCATGTGGCCAGTTTTCCTCAAGGATTTTTCAAATCATTTTCCCCCTTGAGGTGACTAGGTCCTAGGAAGTGAGAAGGCGGTGGTGTGCTTTCATTTTCCTGTCATATGAATTGTTGAGATACTGTGTGATTTCTTCCCAAAGAGAGGAGTTATGGTGTCATTTAATGTGGATGATTTGGAGGTGTTGTTAGGGAATCAACTTGGAAAATTCCACAATACCCTGTCAGAATGTCGTCAGACTCCTGGCAGAAGGATTTCCACACCATGATTTGTGTGTGCTTATGATGGTGCTGCCCTGTTGATGTTTTTTTTCCCCCCTTTTGAAGGAGTCAGATGCAGAAGGAGGAAATAAACAATGAGAGCATGGTAGGCCCTAACTGAAAAGATCAGTGAGAGCCACTGCTGCCTTTTCTCCTCTGTACACCTAAGGCCCATTGCTCCCAGCTGTCAGTCAGAAGTCCTGAGTTCTTGCACTGTAGCCCACAGCTTTATAAAGTATTCATTCAGTTCAAGATGCTCAGACAGATGAATGACATGAATACTTACAGGTGTTGGCTTCTCTCTCTTGTTCTCTCTCAGAGGAGAAGACAATCACTGGATATGCAAACCATGGAACTTGGCCAGAAGCCTGGATACCCACATCACCAACAACCTTAACAATATCATCAGGCATAGGGAAAGCAGCCCAAAGGTAAGAGAGCATGGCTTTAAATGGGATTTAAAGGGGAGAACTGAAAAAATACTTCATAGAAGGAGGTCTAAAAATATGAAGGAAGTTCTGGCCATAAGCACAGTTTCAACCAGTTCAGGATGGATTCACATTCAAATTGGTTGGCTTCATTTGTGGCAGTGATGAACTCCAAAGACCCTGGTGTTTAAAGGGCTTTAAACTAGAGTTGCCAGAGGAGGGGACCCTCAATCCATCCCATTTTGAGACCAATGCCAGCAATAGATGCCTTGAGCATGGAGAAGGATCACAGGCCAGCAAGAGAGCACCTGAAGTGCCAGATAATGGAATTCCAGACAGTAAGTCAATGGGGGCCCAACTTAAATGCCTCTGTGCAAATACACAGAGCATGGGGAGTAAACAGGAGGAGTTCCAAATGTGTGCATGCCTGCAGGGCTGTGTTGTATGGGCATCACTGAGACATGGTGAGGTGTTTCCTACAACTGAAAAACAGGCAGAGCAGAAGAGGAGAGAGTGTTGTCCTCTACGTCAGTGATCACCTGGGGTCCATGACATTTGGCCTAGGGATGGATGAGAAGCTGATGCATCGAGGCTGAAGGGGAGTCTGGGGAAGGTGATATCACAGTGGGGGTCTGCTACAGGCCACCTGACCAAGAAGACTGAGTGGATGAGGCTCTCTGTGGACAGATAGGAGTGGCTTTCTGTTCACAAGCCCTGGTTCTCATGGAGGATATTGACCACCCTTATGTCTGTTGGAGGGGCAGCAAAGCAAAGACTGGAATGCACTGATTACAATTTCCTTCTCTAATTAGTAGAGGGGCCAACAAGAAAAGATGCTATGAAAATCTGTTGGAAGGGCAGCAAAGCAGGGCATCAGCAATCCAAGACATTCCTGCAATGCACTGATTACAATTTCCTTCTCTAGTAGAGGGGCCAACAAGAAAAGATGCTATGAAAAGGAATACAGAGAAGTTGTCTGAGCAGCCTGGGATCAGGTTAGGAAAGCTAAAGCTCAGGCAGAATTACATCTGGCCAGGGACATCAAGGGTAATAAAATCTCCTAGGGAAGACATGGGCCCTCTCTGGAAAGAAACCAGAGACCTGGTTGCAAGGGATACAAATAAAGCTGAGGTGTACTGAGTGACTTTGCCTCAGTCTTCACTGGCAAGGGCTCCTTCTGCCCAAGCTGCAGAAGGCAAAGGCAGGGTCTGGGAGAAGGAAGATTCACTCCCTGCTATTGAAGATCAGGTTCAAGACTATTTAACCTGAAGATGTACAAGTCCATGGGACATGACAAGATCCATCCACAGGTCCTGAGGGAACTGGCAGATGAAGTTGCTAAGCTGCTTTCTGTCATATTTGAAAAGTCATGGCAGTCTGAAGTTCCCACTGACTGGAGAGGGAGAAACATAACCTCTGTTTTTCAAAAGGGAAAAAAGGAATGCCTGGGCAACTACAGGCCAGTCAGTCTTACCTCTGGGCCTGGCAAGATAATGGAGCAGATCCTCCCGTAGGCTCTGCTAAGGCACATGGGAAATGAGGAAATGATTGGTTGTAACCAACATGGCTGCACCAAGGGCAAATTATGTCAGGCAAATTATGCCTGACAAAGTTGGTGGCCTTTGACAATGGAGTTACAGCGTCGGTGGATAAGGAAGAACAGCTGACATCATCTACCTGGGCTTGTGCAAAGTATTTGATGTTGTCCTGCATAACATCCTGGTCTCTAAATTGGAAAGACCAATTTTGGACAAAATTTTAAATTTGACAAAAGGACCATTTGATGGGTAAGGAGTTGGTTGGATGATTGCACCCAGAGAGTTGCAGTCTATGGGTCAGTGTCCAAGAGGAGACCAGTGGTGAGTGGAGACCCTCAGGGATTGGTACTGGGACTGGTGCTGTTTAACATGGACAGTGGCACTGAGTGCACCCTCAGCAAGTTTGCTGATGACACCAAGCTGTGTGATGCAGTCAGCATGCTGGAGGGAAAGCATGCCATCAACCTGGACGAGGCCAAGTGCAAGGTCCTGGACCTGGGTTGAGGCAATTCCAAGCACAAAGACAGGCTGGGCAGAGTATGGGTTGAGAGCAGTCCTGAGGAGAAAGACTTGGGGGTGCTGGTTGATGGAAAGCTCAACATGAGTTAACAATGTGCAAGTGCAGCCCAGAATACCAACTGTGTTCTAACTGGATCAAAAGAAGTGTGGACAGCAGGTCAAGAAGGGTGATTCTGCCCCTCTACTCTGCTCTCATGAGACCCCACCTGGAGTACTGCATCCAGCTCTGGAGGCCCCAGCACAAGAAGGACATGGACCTGTTGGAACAGGTCCAAAGGAGAGTCATGAAGATGATCAGAGGTCTGGAACCCCTCTCCTATGAAGACAGGCTGAAGGAGTTGTGGTTGCTCAGTCTGGAGAAGAGAAAGCTCTGGGGAGACCTTATTGTGGCCTTCTAGTATCTGAAGGGGGCCTACAGGAAAGCTGGGGAGGCACTTTTTTACAGGGGCTTGTAGCTATAGGATGAGAGGTGATGGCTTCAATTTGGAAGAGGGTAGATTTAGATTAGAAATTAGAAAGAAGTTCTTCACTATGAGGGTGGTGAGTCTCTGGAGCAGATTGCCCACAGAAGCTGTGGATGCTCTATCACTGGAGGTGTTCAAGGTCAGGTTGGATGGGGCCTTGTGCAACCTGGTCTAGTGGGGGTTGTCCCTGCATATGGGAGGGGGATTGGAACTAGATGATCTTTAAGGTCCCTTCCAACCCAGGCCATTCCTTCATTCTTATTTGAAAAACAGAACTAGCCCTGACAGCAACAAGTACTGTAGTGTGGTGCTGCTTTAACAGCCACACTCAGGCTGGCAGATGGATGCCCATTAGCTAGAGTTAGCAGTGGTATTGAATGATCTTGGAACATTGTTTCTGTCCCCTGGCTGATCATAGAATCCTTTAGGTTGGAAGGGACCTTCGAGATCATCAAGTCCAACCATTGAGCCATTAGGGCTCTAAAGTCCTCTTCTAAAACAGATCAGAATCTGTCAGGGTTGGAAGGGACCACAAGGATCCCCCAGTTCCAACCCCTCTGCCATGAGCAGGGA